AATATTTCAACATTGCCCTTCGCCGGTCCGAGTGCAGGTCAGAACCACATTCGGTTGAGCATTCTCGCAAGGATCGCGAGATAACCCGCGAAGATGTGCGGCTCTTGTCGGGGGGTGACAAGAAAGGGTTCACAAGTGTACATGGTCCTGGGCATCAAAAGTACTTTCAAGCGTTAAATGCCAATGCATTTACTCGCACGCCTCCGTTTTGCCCTGAAGAACGAGATGTTCGTTACCAAACATTGAGCCATGGGCCAAGGGTGCGCGATGACTTAACTATGAACATATTGTCTTGCCGAGCTTGAGTCACACGTTGCTTTGACCTGTACGTCTTTTCCTGTGAGCAGTCGTCCTGGGAGAGTTGCTTCTGGGCCGGTTCCGCTGAAAGCGTACAACCCAGCTTCACAACTCCTTGACGATGCTGTTTTCTGAGTTATCTGAGCACGCTCCGCATTTACATCATGTGACTAGTTACGCTGCTTCATTACCTTGGACCCTGCCTCTAACAGTACATCGCATGCTCTTTTTAGACCGGCCTAGCCCCATGGGGTCTTGTTTGGGTGTGAATTAGAACACTGATTTCTGGAAATTCGAGCGTCTATTGTAGAACTTCGAACATGTAATTCGGAGGTTCCAGGGGGCCTTGTGGACTATGGAAACCTGGAGAACGCAACTCTAGGCCAGGATGCCCTTGGCCTTTGGGATTCCATTTCCTACATGACCCATTCTTCATCTTCAAGGAAAGAAAAAATTATGATGGGTACCAAACCCGATACGAAACAAGTATGTTGGGTAGCAAATCCTAGTATCGCGACTGGTTTCCGAACCCCAAAATCTACAAGGACACCTTACGGCCATGCCCTTAGTCCTCGACCCCCAGGACCTTTTTGAAAGTCCATTGCATCTCGAAGTATGCTCGATATCCCAAACATCTCTTACGTCACTTCAGAATGGGAAACGTAGAAATTTTAAGCGACACTGCGTGGACAAATGTAGTTCAACGCTATTAGACTCTAGATACGACTGCCACAAATGCGCGATCACAATTACGGCTTACGGATTCAGCAACATACTGTGGCAGGGAAATGAGATTGCACGAAAATGCATGCCACCAGGGCGTCATGTTCTGATTCTTGACTTGTCAGGTACAGCAACCAGAGCAATACCATTGCCGTAGGCTCACCTCCATGTGAGCACTGCCGTAAAGATATTGATTTTTTCTTCATCACTACCACTACGAAGCAGTGTGTGCAGCTTTTGAGCGGCATGCGTGTCTGCGGATTGACTGGATCGTACTGGCTCTGATTGCGTAGAAAGTTACAAGATGCAGCCAACGGGCAACAACATCGAAGGTGAAGCCAGCAGCTAGAGACTTTCCTTGGTTTGCAGTCATTCAGAAGTTATCAATCAATCAGAAACCGTCATTCGAAAGCTCCGACGCGTATGGAGGTCTGATTTTTGATATGCTGACGTGTTTTGTACTATAAGATTGGCGTTTGCTTTAGTTTGGTTTCGGCTTGAACGCGGCTCTGTTGTCCAATGCGTGTTGCCGGAGAGTGAATCTCGAGGCTTGATGTTTAGATATTTTCGGGGCGCGGAATTCAAGGTTCGTAGTTCCAGGTTTAGCTTTCGGAAGATGCACCAGAATCCCCGATAGGCCCGAGAGTGTCGTCAGCCGGCCTCGAGAATTGGCGAGGAGTGGCTGCGAACATCAAGAGCTTACGGGTATGTTCGTTCAGCATATGGGTTCCAGGTGTTTGTCGATGGGACGCATGCTTGGAGCCAGCGGTTGGCCTGAAGCCCGGGACGCTTTTTAGGCTCGCCAAAACTTAGTGCAGATTGCCATAGTATTCAGGAGTTGACACCGCAGTTTAGGTAACTGGTTAGTGGAGCAGAACATACGGCAACATGCCTGAAGATTGATTAAGCAGATTTCATTGTGCGCAAATTCGGTAGACGCTTGATAGAATTGTGACTGGGCACCAGCACCTGCACAGTGCTGCTGAGGCGATCGTTCGCTGTATGCGCACCTTGAGAGTCTGGTGCTGAGCGAACCGGCCCTGGAGTTGCGGAGAGGGCCGCGTCCACGTCACGCGGAAGAGTAGCTTTCCGACCCTAGAGTCCTGTGCTTCTTCATGTTTTGACATCGGTGAATCTTGTTCTTCTGAACCCGCAACTTTGGCATTGCAATGAGGCGCCTGAAGTGAGGCAGAAAATGGATGAGCTTCAGCAGAAGCAGGTCCCCAACGTCGAGTATGTCTGCCAGTGGCTGAAGGAGGACGAAGGACATGTAATGCTGTCGTTTGGATGCAGGTGGAGGAGGCTCTAGACCCCCCAATGAGCGCGGGCCTTACCAAAACTGTGCACAAGGGGTCTCAGAAAGTCGCTCCGGAAGCACAAGTTCAAGGCTTGATCCTTACAGCTGCTGGCGCCTATGGCGCAGCGTATGCAGGCCAGCTCGCTGCAAGACTTTTCAGTGTCTCGCTGTCTCTGACGGGACAGTTCCGGCAACACAAAAGGAAATCACTTGGGTGACGATTCGGCCGCGAAGCAGGACTGCGAGGACCGCTGAGGTCACGACCCCTACTGCTCCAGCTTGCAGCCTGTGGACCGCCGGCCGTGCTGCCGGCAAGCTTGAGAGCTTGAGCGGCCGTAGCGTTGACGTGAGGTGTCGGACTTTTTGGACCGCGGAGTGGAAACCTGGAAGACACGAGCAGCGTGTTTGTTCTGGTTACGCTGATGGACAATGCCAGGTGGTCCTGTCTCTTGGTGGGCTTTACATCTGTGACAGCCTTACGGAGTTATTGCGACTGCCCATTGGCCGCTGCATTCTCATTCTCGCTCGTTGCTCACGCAGCTGCCTGTCAGATACGCATTTCACAGCTTTCTTCATTGCATTCGGGGGCAGGTCACAGGCTGCTGAAAAGCCTGCTGACGCGAGACGGTCCTTTCTCCCCTCTTGTGGCAATGCTTCGCAGGAATTATCACCCTGCAACTAATTTTGCAAACTTGGGCAAGAGCATGAGCATCGCATCACGATCTATATCGACAGTCTAGGTGATGCAAACTTCAATGCACAGCAAGCAGATGCGCAGGTAAGTTGCATTTGCACAGCTGCTGCGTCTGACAACAGCCAGCAAAGCTTCGCATCATCGCTGCCTCTCCGCCGGCTTTTGGCTTGGAGCGGTTCTGTGTAAACTTTTCAGTACGCGGCCGTGCGCTGTGTGTGGTGGCTTTTACAACACCAGGCTGGACCGTGCCGGCAGTACTGTATGTGGCTTGCAGTGTTCGTCAACCAGATTACATGAAGCAAGGCTACCATGAGGTAGTACAGTATGCTGGTCAGCATGTCCACTTGCAGAACATGCTCTCCTCTGCGTCGTTTGATTTGAAGTTGAGAGTATAATGTATCTCAAAGCGTCCCGCAAGGTCTAGAAAGTGAGTGCATGCGGGTGCTTCACCTCCGCAAGACAGCTTGTTCTGAAATTAATCCTGTTCGGCCCAGTCATCTCTTCGTCTCTTTATCACGAAGGCTCAGACGTGGCAATGGCTTTGAACCAGTTGGAACTGCTCTTCGACATGGCTGGCGCATGCCCCAGACATGACCTGTGCTGGCAGGCATGAACCCATTCGCATCCAAGCCTTTGCAGTCTTGCAGTCCATGTGCAGGCTGCTTTTTGGTTCGAGACATCATGCTCATTTCAGCCACATCTGCTCGATGCTTGCTTGCGTCTTGCTACGGCGGCGGCTCAGCAGCTGTGACAGAGAAGCTAGTGGTGACGGTCACATCCATTCGCACACACGCTATGCTATAACTGGAGCATACCGTATGTAACCTTTGAAGGGAAAGATGTACGCAAACCACATCATCAGTTTACACCCAAACATACAGGCATGTATGCATACGGAAAAAGCAGACTTTCAGATGTACTTCCAGCAACAAGCAACCCTCGTGCAAGCTTTGCTTTAGTATCAAGAGAGCTTCGCGTTTCCATTAGTGAGCCATCGCTTCTTCATTCAACAGGCTCCGTTTGTCGTGCGCCCCTTGGCGTTGGCAATGGCGCCCTAACAGTTGTCCTTCTTTTGCAGGGATCCGGCGGACGTGTGTCTGATTTGGAGTTTGCTGCAGCATGTGACTCAATCATGCAGAAACCAGGTCTCTTCGGCCGGGAGTGGACAATTCGTCCAAAGACCTTAAGGAACTGAATCGGCTATTCACTGAGCTGGTTGCAGCATGCAATCCCCCAGCTGGTCACTCCTGTCCTGCCGTCGTAATTTGTCCCAGCTTGTGCTGCCCAACTCCTTCGCCGTTCCGAAGTGAACGTCGTTGTAAGACCACGACCAATCAATCACGAACACTAGCGTAGGAAGGCTTTCGTTTCTACTTGTGTTAGCAGTGGGGCCCTGGATGCCGGCCGAAACCTGCATTGATTGATTTATCCACCGCTGCCACGTTGCTGAGTTGCTGACCCGGTTGCGCATTGGATGTGACGCCAGCTTCCTTCCTCTGCCGTGGATGCGGGTTGCGTGGACCCCACTTCGTTAGCTTTGTTTCCCGTCCGTGGCTGGTGTGTGTGTCGATGCGATGCTCGGAGCCCAGTGTTTCCCTTCCCATCCCTCCAGTTTGGGCCGCATAGCTTTCGTCTACCGGCCCCGCAGGGCACCTGAAGTTTCGGGGCTTCTGAGACTTTCTAGTCTGCAATTGGGCTGGGCCAAGGGCATTGTCCAAGGTTGTCCTTCACGGTCGCCGGTCCGGCAGAGCCCAAGAAGATGACGGACTGCCACAAACAGACCTTTCAAAAGAGCATCCAATGCCTCAAGAGAACCGAATCTCGCCGAGAGAGAGCCGGAGAGAGCGGACTGGCTACGTTGTGCCAAGTTGAATCACATCTTTTTCAATGGCAGTCCTTTCAATGATTACCATATATTCCTAGACATCATTCACGGTCTTCTGTGGGTCGTGAAAATGCTCGTTGTGCAATTCAGTTCCTGAGGTGTGCATGTCACCGGGTGATGACGTGGAGCTTCCACGGTGCCTCGTCGGCAGCGTGCTCTTTCGAGGTTGAAACGAGAAAGCAGTTTTCCACTTTGCAGTTTTGTTTTGTCCAGCTTATGTCGCATTTTTCAGCTGTGTGTGCGTGCAGCTCGCTTCAGATCGCAGCCTAGATTGCAATACGGCTCACTGCGGCCAAAAGAGTGTATGAGATGGAAGCCTGAGCCATATGTCGATTGCCGACCCAGCACTGTTTTGAACCTATTGCAGGTGCATTTCTCATTCGTAAAAAAAGGGGCTGCGCGTCTTTATCCAATTTGACACAGTTGTTGGCGAAAAAAGCTGTTTCCGCATGAAGTATCTTGTCGACCGGGTTGCCATTTCTGGCAACAGATCATGTCCGGAACCAAGGTACACATTGCGCTGAACGCGAGTTTTAATAGTGAGCAGCGATTAGGACATCCGTTTCTTGCTGCCGGCGTCTGCATGACCTTCTGCACAGTGTTTCAGTTTGTTTACAGGTCATGCTACCAAGTCTTGTTCTTCGGAATGCATGTTGGACCAACTGACCTTTCAAATCACTGCTTTCACTAAATGCCGGTGAACACATGGGGAGCGGTTAGCACAGTGGACATCGGAGATCTCCTCGTGGCGGCTGTTTGCGGGCCTTTCTCGTTCCAGCACTATGGTGATCGCTGGGTTTGGAAGCCAAACGGCACTCATGCGGCATTGCTTGCACCCCGATGGTGGAGCATCCGAGACTGTGTTGTTGGCGACAAGTCTTTAATGCTTGTGTTACTCTGACGTACATGCGACAATCTTTGCATCAGTCATGTTACATGGCTTGCTTTCAGTGAGCTGATTTGCACGTCGATTCCCATGTCCAAATGTTCACTTCCGTTCTTCATAGTCGCTTGCATGCGTGGGGGATGACCTGATTCGAACGTACATTCGCATGTTCTCAATTTCGCTTCCGTTTCTTCGCGATCGTTCACATGCGCCGGGACTGGCCGCCTATTCGGTGATGCCAGCCAACGAAGCTAGCGGAATATGTGGATTATGTGGATTCATGGACGCATGAATCTGTAACTGCAACACTGAACCCTATCCGCAACAAATTCCTAAGCTTTTAACAATACAAAACTGTCAGGCAGCGATGGAGCGCATCGGGTCGTCCTTGACAAATTTCATGCAGATGACATGAGGGCATTTGCGAGCATGCATCCTTAATTAACGATAATATGTCGTCAACGTCAAGCTTGGGTCTTGCCGCACTGACCAGGTTTTTCTTTGGGTGTTTGCACAGTGGACCCGCGCAACAACCGGACAATTAATCTTGATGCCTGGATGGAAAGCAAACGATGGATTTCAACAAAGATGTTCCAATCCCGCATGTGGTTGACGTGTCAACAAACGCTTCTACACGCAAAAACGTGGTGCAGAGCATCCTTGTTTAAGGTGTTTGAAGGATTGCACCTGCGTGGCTTCTGGTTCGCAAGCAGCCTCAACGTATTTCATCGCCAAGGCACGACTTCACATACATTGCTGCCAATGCAGATCGGCCGTGGGAGCACTTCACAGGCAGATGGCAGGCATGGCATGCGTATACAGATTGCTGCACATGTGATTAGCTCACGATTTCTGTGTGTGTGTGTGTGTGTTGTTGTGTGGTTTGTGCACTGCTGCTGCTGCTGCTGTGGTTCACAGGATGAGTGTTCCCTGTTGCCTGCCAAATGCCTGCAGTCGGCCACGATTGTCAGGCCATGAAGCCGATTCTTGCCGAAGGCCTTGCAAGGTGCAGCAAGACCAGGCGCACTGTCAAAGATGCCCGATCATGGCCATGTCGAGTGTCGAATGATGTCCTTTTCTGGAGGCCGCTTCGAGTGGTCGACCTGGGCTCCTGCAGCGGCTACTTCGCACTGAAAGCTGCCCACAGGCCTGTACGTGAGCCTTAACGGCCTTCGCAGCAGTGTTTTGGATTCTCAGGCATCCAGAGGCTGACGTGGTTGCCATCGAAGGCCTGTGAGTCGCATTCGAGATGCACACAAAGTGAGCCTCTTGGCCCGCCGACTGTCGTTTCGACAACCATTCAGCGGAGTTGTCGTTGATCCAGTCAAGTCAAGTCTTTGACATGTGATCTGCATTGCATTCCAGCTCTCGACCGAGTTGGTTTCTTCACAGGCTCAGTTGGCATTGGCAATGGCACTGTTGGCGTGCAGGGGACAGTCCAGCAAATCCTCAAGACAGAGGTGACTGAGCTGCCTGCGATCCCTGGGATCCCTGGGATCTGGGATTACCGAGACAGTGAGCGTTTCAACAGCTGGCACTTGGAAACTCAGGCTGTGCAAACGCACCTTCGCTGGATCCAACGCTTAAAGCTGACGAACGGCTTCCTTGCACCCGAGGCAGGGGGGGTCAGTACTTTTGCTTCATGAATGCTGTTGGCAGCAGAGGGGGTGTAGATTCCGTATACAGCATGGATCAGTCCAAATCAGACCACGGCCAGGTTTGGGACTATGTGCATGTTTGCAACCTTGCGAAGACTGGAAGGTCGTGTCCTTGACTCCCAGAAGTGTGACGGAAGTGATCCTGCAAGATTCGATTTTGCGGTATTCACTGTGTTCAACATTGCTCCCCCTTTCACTTGTAAGGGGGTGCTCGACCCGGTCAGCTTGCATCAAGCGCACAGATGCACTGTGGGTGCGCAACCTCGATAGATTCAAGCTGGGCACCTGTATTTTCCCGCAAGAGAAGCATCTTCCCTGTCCTGTCTCCGGACATGCGCTCCTCTGCTGCTCCAAACCCACTGCAGAGATTGCAGATAGATGCGGGGGCGCTAGGAGCTGCGACGCTGCGTGCACATGGTAATACAGTTTAGGAGAGACCCGGGGACAAGGCTGGGGGATTCTGCATATGATCAAAGCCCAGGACCGACTTTGCAAGAAGTTTCGGTGGGGCAAGGTTGTTCCTATGAGCCCTGTGAGCGTCCATGCCGGGCCTGTGCAGATCCTGACTATGCTACAGGCCTATCTGCGACTTCATGTTCATGCTTTCGGCCAGAGCCTTGATCTTTGTTCATAAACTCTGGCAGGTGTTTTTCCTGCTCGATAGCTTCAGCAATTTTCGGCCTGGAGTTTTTTTCCGAGATGCATTCCTAAAACTTAAACATAGCAGCATGATCTGCAATCTGAACTGAATCGATATCCCTCTCGCCTCTTCTCGCTCCCATCCCCTCCGTCTCTGTCTCTCTGTCTCTCTGTCTCTCTGTCTCTCTGTCTCTCTGTCTCTCTGTCTCTCTGTCTCTCTGTCTCTCTGTCTCTCTGTCTCTCTGTCTCTCTGTCTCTCTGTCTCTCTGTCTCTCTGTCTCTCTGTCTCTCTCTCTGTCTCTCTGTCTCTCTGTCTCTCTCTCTCTCTCTCAGTGTGGTGGCGTTTGTGCCGGGTGGAGGTCGTGCACCACATCGACAACATCTCGGTGCAGCAGTATGCAAGTGCTGGTCTCACCAGGAGCTGATGGCGTAGCCTTGCCTGGGAGTGTCAACGTTTGGGCCATTTAGCCCCACAGGAGCCAAGGTGGCGTTGACTTGCTGGCCAAGCTTTTGCTTTTGGCACCGAGGCCTTACATGCTGCTGCTTGGGGGGAGGGGGGGCGCACTGATGCTTGCTGGAAGAGGCACTTTGTAGAACTTCCGAATGAGCCGTGGCTGAAAGAACTTTTCGAAGCTTGGCCAGCAAGTTGCGATGGCCTTCAGGAGAGCAGAGTGAGCAGAGTGAGCAGAGCAGCAGAGCAGTTCCTGGCACTGAGGAGAAATACGGGACTGCAAGAGGCATCCTGCAGGCTGCCGCTGAGGCAAGTGGCCTGAAATGGTCCTTTCGAGGCCTGGGCCTTGGGGCCGGGGGCTGCCTTGGTCTCGGTCGTCTCGTGTCCAAGCCACGCACTCCGCCCAGGCCCAATCTTCACAGCTGAATGGTTTGGACCACGGGACACTTGGGTGCTCGAAGTGGAGGCAGGGAGTTGTGCGAGCTGATGGCCCTGCTCTTGGTATGGGCCAGGATGGAATGCCTGAACTGGATATTCAGCTTTGAGCCTGGATGTCGCCTCGTCTTTGTTCCCGGATTAATGCTTGGACTGAGATCTTCAATACCTCAGGTCGTGTCCTTTTCCGCTTCTCTATCGGGGAAATGAAATGGATACTGCTCTGGATGCTTCTGAGCCCGAGCACGCTTCTCCGTTTCAACATGCTGCTCAGCTGAGTTTCAAGAGCATAAGTGTTGGGACAGAGAGCTGCTAGAAGGCGCATGCATAATGATTTGTTCATCGGCGTTTCATGGTGAACGCCTGGTCTTTCCAAGTCTAACTTGAACTGTTTTCTTAAGCAAGCCGTCTGGCTGGTCCTCTGTGAGCACGAAAGGTGGTGTGATTGGACATGAGGCCATGAACTCTGATCTGAAATGGCTTTGACTGCTGTAGTATCTTAGATGCGGCTGTGTGCCATGAGTCTCTTTATTGCCTTCTCACTTCGCGCCATAAAAGCATGGGGCCTTATGTCAGCCTTGCTGTAAGAGGTCGATGGCTGGACTTTGCCCGGTGAAGATAATCTGTGACCGGGCTGCAGTGGAGAGCGCCATCGGGAGAGCTTCCAGGATCGTGGTAGCCCATGCCGGCTAGCATTTGGAGCCGAAGTCCTGAGGCCGTTGTCCATGAAGCTCGCCGGCGACGACGCCTTGGACAGCTTTCCTCCCGCGTGCCTCGGCCAAAGGGCAAAGGAGAAGCCGCGCAAGAGCCCGGAGCCACAGCCAAGGCTGCAGGGCGGTCGAGAAGCCCTGACCACAGCTGCCTGGACAAGGGAGACGATAACGCGGGGGTGAAGACACGGAGTGCAGAGACATGCTCAAGGGAGGATGCAGTGATGAAGTTGGTCTGGGTTCTCACAAAACGATGGCAGGTTGTGTGCCAGGTTTTGCGGCCTGAGTCACTCACTCGCATGTACTTGAAGAGTTTATGAGGCTGCTGCTTGCGAAAACCTTTCGGGCATGCTGTGGCCAAGCTGCAAGTTGGAAAGTGCAGCCATGCCTCTGATAAGATTTGCTCGTCGGCATGTCTGATATCCAAGAGGCTGGATCCTGCGCTTTATGCCGCTGCCGCCGAGCCATCAGTGGAGACTTCAGACATCGCTGTCGCAGCAGCCCTGAAGGCAGCTCCGACAGCTCGCCCCCAAGAACTGTAATTGTCGCTGACCCGATTGAGTTATCTCAAACAGTTCTTTCCGAGGCATTGCTGTTGGCCCACCTCACCTTGCGTGAAGCAGTTGCTGAGGCTGAGGTGAGACTCAATGAGCATGTGTTGTTCTTTTTGCGTTCAGTCCACCGGTGCTATCCGGTGCTTAACTGTCGCCGTGCCAGGATGCTCTTGCGGAAGTGCGGCGGGCTGCACCACCTGAGGCTGTTGTCCAGGTGAAGTCATAAAGCCTTTGCCCTGCTTTCGACCCTTGCAAGGTGTAACCTTTTCGAAGAAATTCGGAAAGATGGGCTAGACGTCCCACGGGTTATGCTGTACACGGCATGCCAGTTCCGCTTGTTCAGATACCAAGCCAAATACCAGCAGAATACTTGACAAAAAGCTGCTGTCAATGTGCTTGATAGTCGAGATGTTTGGGACCTCCAGGCTGGTTGGGATTTCTGGAATCGTAGGTTTCATCCTTGCAGCGGATTTTGTCTTTGGCTGAGGCTCGCACAAGAAGCGTGTGCCCTGCGGACCGAAGCCAACAGCTTCAAGGCGGCTTCGCTCAGTCCTGGAGGCGAATTGTGGGAGGCAGAAAGACGACACGCGCATGCGATGCGAGGCCAGTCCGTGCTCGAGCCCGCAAGACCGGCGAGGTGGGACTGCGAACGCGGACACTGTGATTGCTACAGTACTACTCGTAGCTGTAACCACTGCTGTGTCTTGGCTCCTTGGGGTACGACTGTTCAGTTTTGCAAGATGGCCACGACGATTTTTAGTTCCATGACTGCTTCCATATAACCAGCATGGGCATTGAAACTCTCGAGAATTCCTGAGATAAAAAAAGAGTACTGTATTCAGAAGTTTCGCATGAAGACTTGTGCTGATGAAGGCTCCTCCTCCTTGCCTACTGGTACTACCGCTACTGCTACTTCCTATGGCGACGACCACTACCACCACCGCGGCTACCACGGCCATGTCTAGGGCCAGCATCACCCTAACGCGCACTGATGCACTGTCATTGGGCTTTCAATCGTGGGACATGCCCAATGACCGATAGGTGCAGTGATGACAGGAGTGCAAAACGCGGCAGTCGGGTGTGCCATCAGCAACAAACTCTCTCTCTTGAGCGTGGTCGGTTCAATATGGCTCTCATGGATTATGGTGTCGTTCACAAGCTACTGTAGGCGGGTCGAGGGTGTGTTGATGCAAAAGATGTGAATTTGTGCTGGATCCATGGTGTCTCGTGTGCTGTTTTTTCAAAGACAGCTTCAGACAGAAATGTCTTCTTACCAAAACGTACAGTCAGTTAACACATTGACATTGCTTTTTGGAAGGCCAGTGGCGCGAAGTTACGGAGTGCTGCCGAGGAAAGTTTGGTTTGTGCTTGAACCTTGCTTGAGACATCGTGCTTATGAGGAGGAGTGCGCGAACAACTTTGTCAATGACCTGATCCAGGCATGTGAAGCGTGGCAGTTCCACAGCATATCAATGAAAGTCTTTGCCGAGGGCGCCTTGGCAGAGGATGTCAATGTTGCGACCGAAGACGCATCTTCGCCGCAGATAGAGCCTTGTGGCAGAGATGCTTCTTCTGGTCTGGACTCACACCGCTTTATCTGAGGTTACGTTTTACGAGTCGGATGAAGACAGCGTAGAGGCCATGTCTAGCTGCTAACCTTTATCACACTGCACCTTCAGCTTTCTAAACTGCGATTCGGACTTGCCAGGACGACGTCTTCAGCCTCGCAGATCCCAGCGAAGACGAGGAGGATGGTGTGCAGACACGGCGTGTGTTGGTAACTTTTCTTCGATGCCCGTTCGCTATTGAAGAAATTGGGGCTCATGCCAAATCTGCGCCGTACCAAGTAGGAAGTCCCTGGAGACTAGCATATATACGACTTGAGTACCTGGACCCTGTGGGTATTTTGTTCGGACTGGGGTGTGCGGCTGTAAAGGGAGATTGCACACTTTCAGTGTTTTTTTTGATGGTTTTGCTTTGCAAATACATATTGTTTCACGACGATATTTCACAGGCATTGACTGTCGGCGCTTGCAGACTGTTTGCGACTTGTCGGTGTATTGAGGTTGGGCATGTTTTTTCGGTTCTGCAGAGCGTAGATGGTGTTTGGCCTGATAATGCTGTGCTCCACAAGCCTAGAGACATCGTCAGCGAACAATCCTGAAGCCTAGTAAGTATGACATATATGATGCTACAAACCTTCCAAAACCCCATCTACTGCAAGCAATTGCTTGAACATCGTTCAGAAACCCCGGCAGATGGTGCAACTTGGTGCAAGCAGATAAGGACGTGCGGGGGAGGGTGGCCTGGATTTAGCTCAGGATGCAAACATTTTGGACAACCTCAAAAGGATTTAATGATTACAAGAAATAAGTCCACTGGAACCTTTGTAACTGTAGACCAAATACTCACATTGCACACATTCCATCATGTGTAACTGTAGACCAAAATACTGACATCCCACCCAAGCGGAAAGTCACGTGTATGCTCCACATAGCTGAGTGTGTGATCTTGCCGGCATTTGCTCACTCCAGGAGGTTGAGAGCGCCCTCGGCTCAGATCAAGAAACTTACCTTGTTGTGATCATCTGCAAGCATCAATACTGCCTTGATCTGTTGAGTTGGACCTGGCCAATGTCTTGGCCAAGCGCGTCGTGCAGCAAGGCTTGGGCGAGAGCGAGAGAAAGAGGGGGAGATAGCTTTCGCGAAGATTTCCTGATCTGCATTCTGGCATACGCGAGGCATTCAGCTGGACATGCAGATTCAGGTGCGGAAGAAGCCCGCGAGCTTGGTGCATTGATATAGATACAAAGAACATGCTGTGTACAAGGAATTCAGTCCTTGGCTGCGAACGGACTGCGATGCCTTGTCAAGTTCTAAGGTGTCACTATAAGAGCTGTGAGCAAGACCATGTAAAGTGCAAGGGAAGGGGGCACGCTACGCGTCCCTCGACTCTAAGGGGGCACGCTACGCGTCCCTCGACTCTAGGAGTAAGCTTGTGGACGTGCTGCGCACACCGCATCGCTTCTCCTTACCTTTCTATGTGACCGCCCACGCAACGTCTGGCTCAAGTCAATGCCCATAGCTAAGTGCTATATGTGTCTTCTATCCTGAGCAATCAGAGCTATCCCGTGCACAGACGAACCGCCGCCGGCAGCGAGTGCAAAAGGAACGGCCGCCGGTTCTGCCTGCATAGGATTGCGCGTGTGGAAGTGTGAGAGAGACAGGGTCCCAGTCTGTGGAGAGTGCAAGCCAGCCACACCTACATTCATTACAGCTCTGGTGGGGAGAGCAGCAACATAATCGAGATCAAATCCCCCACGCAGGTTATCAGCCGTACGCGGCTCTGCCTTTCTACAGCAACGACTACTTGATCTACTACGACCACAATGAACTCGGGATCAAGTCAAGATACGACAATGACTTTCGGTGCCGATGTGGCAGCGCCAGCCGTTGGTGAGTCAACAGCTGATGACACAGTGGTGCAATCCGTTGATAGCTCCACGGAAGATGACAAAGGTCAATCTTCTGCGCTTGCCATTGCAAAGGCAGTTCCCAAGGTGAAAGCAAAGAGTCTACCAAGAGCATCTACGCCTTCGCGTCCGACATCCACAGGTTCGAGGACGGGCAAGGCTCCAGAACGACGAGCCGAAGCGTCTGGTTTTCAGGCACCTCGGACTACGTCCAGGGCCAAGGACAAGGGAGTGAAGACCTTGGAAAAGAAGTCGAGACCATCATCTTCGAGAAGCTCTTCAGCACGATCAAGGACTTCGGCTACTCGTGGGCGTGATAAGTCCATGACATGGAATAGGATGGTTACCAATCAACCACGCGATGCTGACGATCTGGATATGACTCTGGACACTATCCCTGCACGTGGTGATGCGTCATCGGTGACCACGCCAGCCATAGCCGATGGTCCGAATGCCTATCAGGAACTGACGATTTCGCAACAGCTCGAAGCATCGAACCTTGCGCAGCAGATGTACTATCGCAGTCAGATGCAAGAGTACGAAGGAGTTGTCCAGACCCTGATGGATAAGATCAAGGAGATGCAACAAGAAGATGAAGGATCTGGGATTCGCATCGAAGAATTGGAACGACAACGTGACCATGCATGCTTAGCCATGAGGCACATCAACAATGTCAATCAGGAGATGAAGCGAGACTATGAAGCAGCTTTGTTTCGCATGGATGAACAGAACTCTGCTCAACAACGTCAAGCACACGCCGTTGCCGAGGAGTTGGCTCAGCAGCTACATGTGTTTCGCACGGAAGCAGCCACTAACTTTGTGCAGCTGGAGGCAAGAGCGCAAGGCGATGGTGAGCTTATGGCACGTGAGTATGAGCATCTGACTCATGAACTTCATGAACAAGCCAGAGAGAACTTGTTCCTCCGGTCGAACACAGCAAGTTCGGAACAAGCCTTACAAGCAATGCAGGAACGATTCCACTTGGTCAAGAATCAGGAGTTGCGGGCCGTGAACGAGATCCAAGGGCTAGCTGGGAACAGCGCAGCCATTGATCAAGAACGACTTCGGCTTCGCGAACGTCTTGGTGAAGAAGAAGAGTACCGCAAAATGGCTGTGAGGAGGATGCAAGATGCAGAGGACCGACTTCATCAGAATGAAGATCATGCAAGGCGCGCATTGCCTACCTTGCACGATGAGCTGAGTGAACTCAGGAAAACACTCAAAGCACAAGAAGATCTTCAAGCGAGGACACGCAGCGAATTGGAGGCAGCACGGAACTCCAACTACCATGGCGGAGTGACACGGCCTTCGAGCATGCCCATGTCTTCGAGGACTACTGAGTCTGGCTGGGAGCACGTAGGAAAGGAAGTAGTGCCTGCATTTTCCGTAGGAGGTGAGGTACGATCCCCTGAAATACGGTCCCCAAGTCAAGTTAGTCCAGTCGCCAAAGAGAAGTTCGCATTCTCGGAATCGGACAAGGACAAGAACCTTGCGATGGATGGAATTCCATTTACCGGTGGAAACTTCTTCACTGGCCGCATCAAAGGTGAGGTGAATAAATCCTATTCAACGCCAATCGTGGCGGATGCAATGCCCGAGCACTACGTGCCAGGTATTAGCAGCCCAGCACATGCGCGTTCCACGCCTTGTGCAGCCACTCTGTTTGGCATACCAAGCGGATTTCATGGGCAAAGTGATGCGGCAGCCGTGCGTGATCGACAGCTACGCGAACTCTTGGAGGATCGCGGGATGTTGGGATCGAAGTCCACAGCATCTGCCAGCTCCTCAAGACCTGTTGGTATCGACGGCATTATCGCATCTACGAAGGGCAGCGACCTCATTGGTCCCCCTGTCGCCTATGACGATTCTATCCATGAGGCAAGGAGGCGTCAGATCGAGAAAGAGGTCGCGGAACGGTACGAAGAGAAGATTGCCGATCTGCGAAGCGAAGTACTCAAGGCCCAGAAAGCCGAACAGCGTCTCAGAGCTGATCGTGATGAGTGGAGATTATTTGCTGAAACGATTCAGGAAGACAATGGAGACGATGACGGTGATGAAGCTGGCGACGAGGACGGAGAGGGAGAGCATGATGAAGGAACTGGCACGGGGTATGATCCTCCAGATCCGCCTGATGATGATGATGATGATAAGAAGAGAAGCGGTGGAGGCAAACCTGACCCGGATCCTGACCC